CTCTCTGCGGGCCCGGCCCGGCCCCGGCGGCGGCCGGCGGAGCGCGGGGCCCCGCAAATGGCTGCGGGGAAGGCCTGGCTCTGCCTGCGCCTGGAGGCGGCCTTAAATGACTTGGAGGTGATCTGCAAAGAAAACAGGTTTCTTTCTTGAGGGCGTGTACACACGCAGAGACCTGGAAAGGCGGGTAAGGAAAGAGGGATTTTTGCTTTTGCCTGGGTTTGTAGTTTTATGAGAGAAATGCAGGCTTTGTGAAAAGCTGTGAGTGCTGAAAAACGGGCAAATTGTCAAAAGTGACTATTGCCACATAGATGTTTAGAAACACTGAAAAAATTCCAGTCTTAAGGTCAGAAAGCAAAATGTTTCTTCCCGAAGTATGAATATCACAGTAAATGCTCTGAAGCAAACAGTCTCTTTCAGCCTCTTGTGCTGACCAAGGGATGTGAAAACCATCAGCAGACTTTGTCGGGGCTCCTCAAGACGCAAGCAGATGAAGGGGCAACATGGACGCATCCCGAGCTCACTGGCGTTGTGAAGGCAAGGTGTGTGTTGAGGCAACAGTAGAAGGGGTAGAAAGAGTGCTGGGCTCTGATTCATGACAGCAATCCATGTGGGAATGCTGCTGGTCTAAATGAGCCTCTGTATTCCCTGGATTTGTCTCATCCATCCCAGTAACCGCTACATGCATTCTTTGATTCACTGTATGTTCCAAAGGCTTTCTTCTCTTATTCACATCATCTTTATATGTTTGGACTTGAGCTTAGTCAAGCTGGGTTTTCATCTCTCTGTATGTTCTCAATGTGTCAGAGGGCAGTCGTAATTCCCAGATTGAAAGAAAGGATAAAGTAGAATTAATAACACTGCAGTCCATATACTGCATTATGATCGTTCCCACAGCCTCTATACAGATGTTGGATAGAAAAGGTGATCAGCACTGAGTGCTGTTGCATGTTGCATCTGGGAACCCTTAACAAGAGGAAAAGCCATCTGCTACTGTCTGGGAACACTCAGTGAGGAATCAGTGGAACCACGCTAAGGCATTTCTCACTCTGAGCCAGGTCACACAGCTGTGTCCAGGATTTCACATGCTCCACAATGTCAGAGGCCACCAGAGCTTTGAGTCATCTGTAAGTCACCAGGCATCTGGCCGTGGTCACTGGTGGAAATACTTTTATCGTTACGCTGAGCAGAGGTGAGGTGCAGTGGTTGTAGAAGTGATCTCAGTGAGGCAGTTGCTAGCCAAGTGAGTACGGTCTAGAAGAGATTTCTTTAGCAGACATCAGAGTAAAGTGTGTTTTGTTGGTGTGTGTCCCCCGCAAGAGCTGTTGGCAGCTTCCTCTCAGAGAAAAGCAGTGATTCATACTTCCAGGAGCAGACTTACGCAGTCCCTGCAGTGTTTTTCCTGGCCAAGTTGGAATAGTCTAGATTCTAGATTAGTAATTCATATTACAGTAGTTGCTCGGAAGTCTCTATGTGCAAGGTACTTGAGAGGTACAAAGAAAGAGGCAATCCCTGTGCTAATTTGGAGATGTGAGCTGAACAAGAGAGAAATCAAGCAACTTTCTCAGTGCCAGTAGGAGATTCTGGAAGATATGTGAGCTGTATGTATATTTCCCAAGTGCTGCAGTAGTGTAATTACTATACAGATTTGTTTGTAGTCATTGACAGATTGTAAAAACCGTGTATAGTATGACTACTGTCAAGAATTTACTGAGTGATTTTCTGTTCAAATTAGTATATTAAGTTACACACTAAATTGACACATAAATAATCTTTTTCAAAGTCAGACTTACTTTATAAAGTCCTCTAAAATCTCTGTTTTCAAGCAGTAAATTTGCCTTTTTGATCCTCTAACGCTTTGTGATCTTGTAATTTAAAAATATTTCCTATCACCAAAATATATGTTATATTTAGACACTTCAAATAGTTTACATACCAAATAATTGTAAAGCATTGAAAACAGGCACTATAACTGTGTGTGAATTGTCTGTTAAAGGTTTTAATTCTGTTATTTATTTTTCTGCACATACAGCTTTGGCTACCCAGTAGAGTTAGTTTGAGTATTATGATTAGATAAACATGTATTGGGCGTGCTAAAAACTTGAAGCCTTTGGCTTGAAGTACAGGTCTCTGCTCCACCAAGTACATAATGCTTGCAGGAGTATGACGCTCCAGCCTAATTGAACTCAAAGATCATCAGAGAAAGGGATGTGGATCTTCTGTGTCCAGCCAGTTATAAAATCTTCAGTTTCACCTTCCCTCTCTGACTAAAGAAGCTATCATTTATAAAGGCACAGAAATGCATATATCATTCTAAAACTTGTACTCTAATGGAAGACGTGATAAGCAAATTTATTTCATAATCATTCTAGCCTGTCAAATGACATTCACGAAAGAATAAATTATAAAATAAATCTTATTTAATTGTTGCTGATTGTGTAAGATGGGCAAATATGTACACTTTCCGACTAGGATTTTTTGCTTTTTGTTTAATTTTCTCACTCTTTATTTTACCTCCAAATCTGTATTTGACACTCTGAAGAAAACAGAAGCTTAAACATGTTCAGTCCACCAGAAGGTGAGTGCTTTGGCTCAGTGCAGAGCTGCCTTGTCTGAGCATATTAAAAGCCATTTTAGTTTGTATAGGAGTAATTGTACGTTTGTAGGGTTTTGTAGCTTCAGAATATGGTCCAGTGGAGTATTGATGGGCTTTAGCTGACAAGCGACTGAAACACACACCTCACCAGCTTTTCAGAACAGCCATCAAGAAGCTTCCAATATGCAATTTCTCGGCAACAGCCTTGGTAAGGACGCTTTCACTGCTTACTGTGAAACAGAGCAGCCACTCAGCCATTCCTGTTGCTGTGTGACACACAGGATGCATCATGTGCTCTTCCCATGTGACCTGGCATGTCAAGCATGTCACCTTCACGAGAGAGACATGAGACAGGAGAGAGAGAAATAAATCTGTTTTCCCATCATCAGGCTTATTGTTCCCCATCTGCACCAAGTCTTTTTCTGCATAAATCTGAATACAGAGGTCCCAGATTAAAGCCATACTGAGCAGTTACCGTCTCTGAGCCGATTCCTCTAAGCTGAATTAAAATGCAATATTAAACAATGAAAGAACCATATGTTCTTGTCTCAGGATGTTTTAAAAAGAAAATTGTCTACACAGAGCTGACATAATATGTCAGAAATTGAAAGAAAAGTCATGCATTTACTCATCACCAATTTTCAGATAGTCTGATCCCTAAAGAAGTGATTTAGGTAAGAACCAAGCAAGAAAAAGCAGACTTTTTAGCTATATATTTTAGCTCTGCTTAGAACATGTTTTAGAGACAAGTAACCAGCGTAGCATTTAGGACCTCAGGACATGAGGAACCATGGCAGAGAGTGCCTATGACTCCTGATAACACTACAAGCCATGGCTTGCAAGAAGGACAGATCCAAATTGTTAGGTAGCCTCTGGCTGCTGTTGCCACAGTGCTGATGTGGGATGTCAGTTTCGTTGCTAAATTCCTGCCCTCAGTTTTGATACAAATATATGTCCCATATATTACTGCAATTTCATGTAAATGTATAATGCTGTTTATCATTAAAATATCAATTATCATAACTGTATTCTTTGTTACGTAGGAAGCCATTTTAGTCTGCATCTAATGTGGGAAGGATGGGCTCCAAGGTGAACTACATCAGCATGGATTTAAAGACAGGAGTGCCACCACCCCAACAGATTTCACCATGGAAAATCTGGGACTTGAGGATTTCCAGCTAGGCTTTGGATGGAGTCCCAGGAGGAGGGTTAGAAATGCAATCTCCCAATGCTAACAACTCTGATGTAGAGAGGAACCAAACCAGGTTCTAAACAAGCGTTTGAACATTTGCAAGTATGTATGTCTTTGGGGTCTTCTGGAGTAAAAGTAGTGTACCTTTACTTTAGGAAATTGGGCAACATACATAAGTTAAAAGTAGTGACTTCAGAATATTGTAAATAGCTATTACCTTCAGACAATCCAATTCTAACCATATTACTTGGTATTTATATTATGGTGATTAAAAGAAGACACCCCTTATCTGGCCTTTCTCTCTATTTTTAACACGAAAGACTGTTGAAAATAAAATGTTTCATTACGTATATCAATACTTCCCAGTGGTTTTGAAACAATTAAACTAATGTTTCCCTTTAAACTGTCTTTTGTTTTCAACTGGCTGTATCTTCTATGTAAAAAGACAGTGAAACTACTTATCTATATTAAGGCAGCACCTTTGTGGCACCGTTCAGGGGTTGGGAAAAGTTGCTGCAGCAACAGCACAAGTTAGGTAACGCTCTGTGCAGTGAAGGATGATTAAGCCAGTTTGCAGGGGGCTGCAATCCCAAACTCTCCATTGCTCTCAGTTTCTGTCCCTGCCTGCAAAGTGGAATATATTTTATAATAAATTTTAAAATTCTCTGTGAACTGTAATTTAGACTTACTGTGCAAAATAGTAATAACAACAATATGGAGAGTGAGTAATTCTAGGCATTTCTTGATATCCCATTTTACTTGGCATGTTTGAAGTGGCAATAGAAATTGGATTTTATTTATTTTACAGAATCCAAACTGTTGCCAATGCATTGGGAAGTGTGGCAAGACTTATCCGTGTTCGTGTAACTTACACAGCATGCATCACCACACTCAAAAGAGTAAGTCAGTAATGAGCATCCTTGATTAACAAACTTTCTGTTAAATCTTCAGAGCTTACCTTTTCTGGGCTCTGGCTTCCAAAGCCTAGTTCTGACAACAGAGGTTTAGGAGCATTTTGGATGTGTGTGTTCAGGACTGAGCAGGGTGGAAGGGAAGCAGCTGTAATCGAACTCAAAGTTTCATCCAGGTCTAAGTTACGGGGAAGCTACGTGTGACTTAGGAGACTTGGCTTTTAACCCAGCCTGTCCTGGCTGTAAAACCTAGTTCCTGCATTTTCAGGACAGAACCTTCAGAGAGATTTATGAAACACAGAAATACTTATCCAAGCATTCAGCTATTCCAGGATTTGAAAAATCCTTTTTATGTATTGATGACTTTCTAACAAAGTCCCATACATTTCTACTTTAAGAATCTGGTTCCTTCTCTGATTGAAGTTTCATCAATTCCATTGTCTTTCCCTCCACATAAAGACTCTGACCTTTAGACTGAATATTACAAAAAAGGTTTTGATTCTCATATGTCTATATTTCCTAGAAGAGTGAGGGCTGTAGAAACACTATCTTGCTGTGAATGGTCTTTGCTTGACAGGTGGTATGGCTTTTTTCTTTACATCTGCACATATTTTGCACTCCTGGGTGAGTGAAAAATCATGGCGTTTGCTTTGCCAGGTGTTCTTTATAGCCAAACTCTGTTTGGGGTTGCACACTGCATACTGACTATGAAAGTTATTTCATAGTCCTTTGCTAATTCTGCTGTGTTAACCCCATTATTTTTTTTCCCAGAAATAACCTTCAGAACAGTAGCGTCTGAATGTTTTGTTATCTGAATTTCAGGCCATAGTGGCTGTCACACACACTAATAGAAAATACCGAGAACTAATACTGCACTGAGCATCAGCCAACATGTAGGGTGCATCGACACTGCCATTTTTGCTCAGATCAGAAGTGCATTTTTGAAGTTGGTCTCCCAGTTGTCCTCACTAACATTGTCTTGCTTCACATTTTGGAGTGGCATCTGGGCATACAAAGTGGATCATTTTCAGATGATACTAAACCAGATGTTTTTCAGAAACACATTCAACGTGATCCCACCACTGACACTCAGTCTGCAAACAGGCTGAAAAGGCTGGGGTTGTTCAGCCTGGAGAAGAGATGGCTCCAGAGAGACCTTATTGCAGCCTTCCAGTACCTAAAGGGGGCTACAGGAGAGATGGGAGGGACTCTTTATCAGGGAGTGTAGCGATAGGATGAGGGGTAATGGTTTTAAACTGAAAGAGGGGAGATTTAGATTTGATATTAGGAAGAAATTCTTTACTGTGAGAGTGGTGAGAGACTGGAACAGGTTGCCTAGAGAAGTTGTGGATGCCCCTTCCGTGGAAGCGTTCAAGACCAGGCAACCTGCTCTAGTAGGTGTTCCTGCCCATGGCAGGGAGATTGGAACTAGGTCTTTAAGGCCCCTTCCAACCTAAACTATTATATGATTCTGTGACAGCACCAGATTACACCTAGTCCAAAATAAAACCCTGTAAAATGTTCCTGATGTGGACATCTGGCTCTTTATGGCAACAGTCTATGGTTCCGCCCCCACTGGCCAGCACGACTTGCTAAGGCAGATGTAGCCACAGAGTGGCAGCCATGGTGTTTGCAACATTAAGTTTCTCAAGACTGTTCTGTGAGAAATACCGTCCAGTGCTTATTTCTGGAGCTGGATGCCTAGATTGTCATTCACACTGATTACTATGTCAGCCATGATGTCTTTCATCTTGTCCAGCCACACCCTGCTATTCACTTCCCTTTCTGTGTACTGTCACCACCGTCCCCTCACTTTTCTGTCCTTCAGCTTTGGTCAAGTGGATTGACCTTAACGACCAGGGTCATCTGGTGATGATGGTGGAAGTAAAGAATCAAAAGCAGTAAGAACATTCAAGCTGAAAGATTTACGCTGGGTATTCAGTCTCACAGATGAAGTGCCTAAGACCCTTCAAAATGGTGATCCCTTCTGAGAATGGGCCTTCAGACAGGGTCAGCCGGGCATTACAAGATTCAACCCGGTGTTACAGAGGGAACAGCTGATCAGACTGTCAGGCTAGGAGACAAGTAATCTCTTGATTTTTATTTTAAAGAGAATTCAGCTTCTCCAGCCACTGAAAAGCTGTCTCTGAAGCACTAGCATGTCTTCTACCTCTTCTGCCACAACAGGATGCTGAGTTTGCAACCAGCGATTGTACTGGTCCATTACAACCATTGTGATGATTGCCACTCTCCATGTCTTGTCTACAACTTCCCTGAAAAGAGCAGGAAGCTATTGTGACTATGGTTGGCTTTTTTTTTTTTTTATTGCTGCACCACGCTCTGCAGCTACTTAGCTGGCTGAAAAGGGGCATTTGAAGCCGAGTTCTCTTGGTGGGTGCGTGGTGGTGTCATCCGGGTGGTGGGCAAAACCACACAAACAACCCTTTCTCCCAAATTAAACAAACAGAAACCTCCAAACGACCCCCAGGGACTGCAGCATTATCTAATTATTTGCTGAATGAAAGAGATCGATTAAACAGAAATGAGTGAAAATAGGCCCCGTCCCAGCAGAGCTACCTTCCTGCAACAACGTCCTCTCTTGATGGTCAGGGACTTGAATCCAAGTTGAGGCCTTTCACAGCTCCCCGCCGGGCTCTGCCCCCCACTGCCAGGAGACCGGGACGAGGAGAAACACAATCAGATTAAAACTTTCCGGACGGGTCGATATTACCACGTAGATATAAAATACCGCGTGCGCTCAGTGCGCGGGCCCACCCGGCTGCCTCAGGCGGCGCGCGCGCCCCTCTCCCCCGCCGCCACCGCCCCCAACCGCCACCGCCCGGCGC